AGCTTCTGTTTGTCCTGGAAGCTTTTTATCACTCCTTCTATCTTCAGTGACAGCCTAGCTGCATACTTTTCTTGTTTAGTACCCCACATATTCAAACTTTAAAGGCACACATGCTAGACCACAGAAACTCCACCACTCAGAATCTACCCTAGAGAAACCTTTGTGCGTGTGCATATAGGAGCATATACAAGGATGCTCATTGCAGCACAGTTTGTAATTACAAAAAATAGAAACAAATACCAATTAATCAGGGAATGATTAAGTAAGCAATGCCACATTCATATAGTGGAATACTATACAGCAGTTAAAAGGAGAAGGTACACTTTACATATTACATGGATAGATCTCCTAACTATACGACTAAATGAAAAAACATGTTGTAGAATATGTCATGTTTATGAAGAGTATGATATCATTTATATAGAAAGAAAAATATAATACTATGTATTTTCAGTGGAACATATATGTACAGGAAGTCCCAGCAAACTACTCCCCAAACTGACAACAGATATTATTTCTGCTGAAGAAGAAAAAGAAGAAATTAGGAATGGGTGGGGGAGGGAAACATGGTCAGAGAACATTCCCCTTATCTGTAAGATATTATTAAGTATATTTGTACATCACTAGGCTCACCCATCCCCCCAATCCCTTCCCTCTAAAACCCTCAGTTTGTTTCCCGGGGTCCATAGTCTCTCATGTTTCATCTCCCCCTCTGAGTTCTCCCCTTCGTTTTTCCCTTCCTTCTCCTAATGTCCTCCATGCTATTCCTTATGTTCCACAAGTGAGTAAAACCTTATGACAATTGACTTTCTCCGCTTTACTTACTTCACCAGTATAATCTCCTCCAGTCCCATCCATGTTGATGCAAAAGTTGGGTATTCATCCTTTCTGATGACTGAGTAATATCCCTTGTGTATATGGACCACATCTTCTTTATCCATTCATCTGCTGCAGGGTATCTCAGCTATTTCCACAGTTTGGCTATTGTGGGTGATGGATATTAAGGAGTGCATGGATTGCATGGAGCACTGGGTGTTACATGCAAACAATGAATCACTGAACACTACATCAAAAATTAATGATGTGAAGGGGAGGTGAACAATGAGAGACTATGGACTCTGAAAAACAATCTGAAGGGTTTGAAGAGGTGGGGGGGTGGGAGGTTGGGGGAACCAGGTGGTGGGTATTAGAGAGGGCATGGATTGCATGGAGCACTGGGTGTGGTACAAAAACAATGAATACTGTTGGGGCACCTGGGTGGCTCAGTGGGCTAAGCCTCTGCCTTCGGCTCAGGTCATGATCTCAGGGTCCTGGGATCGAGTCCCGCATCGGGCTCTCTGCTCAGCAGGGAGCCTGCTTCCCTCTCTCTCTCTCTCTCTCTGCCTGCCTCTCCATCTACTTGTGATCTCTCTCTGTCAAATAAATAAATAAAATCTTTAAAAAAAATGAATACTGTTATGCTGAAAATAAATTTAAAAAAATGATTAATAAAAAAATTAATGATGTACTGTATGGTGACTAACATCACATAATAAAAAAATTTTAAGTATACTTGTGCATTTTTAAATTTTTTAAAATAATTTTAGGAATTCATATCCCTGAGGGTCTAGAAGGCTAGATCCACATCGCCAGTACAAATGCAGAAGTTTGTGGACATCTCTTGTTTGATCTCAAAAATTTTCATCAATTCTGTGCTCCATAATAGGTTTGTTTTAATATAAAACTGTTTGCAATGTTTACTTATGGCTTAAATTATAGAACTTTTTCACCACCACTACCATCAAGAATAATAATAATCTTAGTATAAAGTTGATACTCCAAGGGGCATCATGCACTAATGGATTCAGGTCCTTCATGGCTATACCATCATGTTCCCAGAGGCAACTTGAACCTCAGGGATAGAGGCAACAGAACCAGAGCATCTGGGTGGCTCAGTAGGTTAAGCATCCACCTTCAGCTCAGGTCATGATCCCAGGGTCCTGGGATCACCCTGTGTGATCAGGGAGCCTGCTTCTCCCTCTGCCTCTGCCTCTCCCCAACTTGCTCACTCTCTCTCAAATAATTGTTTTTTAAAATAAAAAGCCTAGTAGATCTTGAGCTATGAGGACAGATAAAATATCAAATAACAGGCTCTCAATAAAAGGGTTTTGGGGGGTCTTATTTGTTTGTTTGTTTGTTTGTTTGTTTGTTTTTGCAGTGTAGCATGGCCCTGGCAGGTGCCAGTTTGTTCCTGTACACAAAGAAGTCAGGAGGTACAGGAAACCTCTCAGCAGCTGGTTGCTCTGGGTTCTTAGAGTCTCCATGAAGGGGAAGGACTAAAGGAGAAGGTTCTGGTCTTTGGAGGCATGGGTGATGGAGTAACCTGGCTCTGTGCTCCCATTTCACCTTCCTACATCACCAGGAAGATTCTGGATTGTTCAGGTGGCCAACATCCAACAAGGAACACTCTGACTAGGCAAAGTTTGCCACAGACATGTCCCATCATGAAAACCTTTGCCTCAGGGACCCCACCTCTCTCACTCAGTCAGCCATAGGCAAGATCACAGGGTCGTTTCCCTCAATGCACACAGCTCAAGCCAAGGTAACTTTATGTAGAAAGAACCTGCAGCAGCTGTGAAAAGAAATTTTCTTGACAGAACTCCAACAAAGGGGAGCAAAGACTGAGGGCAGCAGCTGAAGAGCCATGAAATCCATCCCTACACCTTGTGCCAAGCATAGCTCCCGAAGCCAGCTCCCAAAAATGACCCAAACACAGCAGAGACACAAAGGTGGGCCCATACTGGGACACACAGGGCTTTCTGCACAGGCAGCTTGTAGAGAAGTCCCCACAACCATCAAGGACACTTTCATCCAAAATTCCCTCCCTCTCTCCTTCACTCAGGGTCAGACTGGCATTACAATCTGACAGCCCTGTTTGCTCCCACATGGGCATCTTCCCTCATTTAATGAGGGAATCCTTGACATTTAATGCTGTTTTGGCACCTGTTTCTCAGAGCACCTAATTCTTCAGGAAGGGGCTTTGGGTTCTTGGATGTCGCCAGTCCGTGACAGGGAGGACATAGGAATGCACCTTGTAAAGGTGAGCTGGGGTCTAGAGAGGATAGGAAATCGTGTGAAACAGTGTTTTAGGAAATTCCTATAGGATGAGTGGGAAACAGAAAAAAGCATTCCTAACAGAGTTATGTGGTGTGGCGACACGGACCCCGAGAGGTCAGTAGGGCCAGAGTGTAGATGTGGCTGGAGAATAGCAGGGTGTCCCAAGTGCTGAGCCAAAGATCTAGGGCTTTCTCTTGCAGGGAACACGGAGTTGTTGAAAGTTTTGAGCAACCAAATCCCACCATCGCATTTGTGGGTTGTTGTTTTTTTTTTTTAATTTTATTTATTTATTTGACAGAGAGAGAGAGATCACAAGTAGGCAGAGAGGCAGACAGAGAGAGAGGAGGAAGCGGGTTCCCTGCTGAGCAGAGAGGCCGATGCAGGGCTCTATCTCAGGACCCTGAGATTATGACCTGAGCCAAAGGCAGAGGCTTTAACCCACTGAGCCACCCAGGTGCCCCCACATTTGTGTTTTTGCTAAGATGAGATGGGTCAAGACTAAAAGCCAGGTGGACAATAAGAGGTTATTAGACCTAGCAATAGGTCACTTGTCTCTTCGCAAAGATTTAATGGGGAAGGAATCTGAATATAACCGTCTCTATTAATGCTACTGAATTTTACAACCAAATACCCTTAGTGTCCAAGAACTATTCCTCTGGGAGACACAGCCAGGAATGCCCCCCAGCCAGACCTTGAGGTCTTTCCTATCCTACCCACACCTTCCTTTCACTCTATCCCCCAAGAAAATTCCCATACTGGCACCTGTTTCCAGGAGTTCCCATGCCCTTTCACACATCAGCAGCAGCATGCTGGCACAGAGAGCAAATGGCCCCATACCGTCACCTCTCGGATAGGAGAGACAGCAGCCTCCAGTCCCACCTGTTTGAGTCCCCACAGGCCTTTCCCTCTAAGGAAGAGGAACTGTCACTCTGGGCCTCAGTGGTAACTCCAGGGCCCAAGAAATGGGCCATTAAGCTAAAACCAAAGAAGGTGTGAACCAGTGAGTAAGCAGCGAGGGGCCAACCCAGGAGAAGCGGGGTCGATGGGGGAGGACTTCTATTCTCCACGAGCAGCAGGGCCCAGGCTGGGATCCGCATCAGGTTCTGTCTCTGGGTTGGCAGCTTGGGGGATTACTTCAACGTCCAAGACACGCAGTAATCATACTCCAGAGGCGAAAGGAACTAGTTAGGGGTCAGTTTATTCACTCAGCATGGTATCTGGCAGTTTTTCAATGGCTGTTGAATCTCCAGAGGAATACAGTGTGGGTTTTCTATTCCTGCGAGCCGAGAGCTATCTGATAACTGTGTAATGGACAGCTGACTGAACCGACCAGGGTCCAAGTCCGGGGTTCTCCAAGTGATCCCACTTGTAACCTGCAGCAACAGCATGGCCCCAGGAACTTGTAAGGAAAGCAAACTTTTGGTCTGCCCCCAGACCTAGCGAACCAGAAACACAACACTCTGCTTCAACAAGTCACTGTCACATGCTTTGAAAAAGTTATTTTGATGCACGCTTAAGTTGTAGAACCATAAAGGGAAAGATCTTTCTGTGTGGTGAGTCTGGACCCTACACACACGCCCCAAGGCCACCAGTAAGGAGGGAAAAGGGGCTCTTTGCTCTCCAGAGTTCTTCAGTTCCCGCCACCCCAACCCCCACCCCACCCCGACCCGACCCCTGACCCTTTTCACTCCTTCCCTCAACTTCAATTTCTTCCTGGAACCCTTGGGCTTCCTAGTTCCCAAACTGGGGTTTCCTCGCTGACCTACTTTAGATCTCCCTCCCCCACACCCACCCTAACCCCTCCAACCCCAAACATCTCAGAACTCTTAAGAGTCTCCAGTCCCCAACCCCCTACGCCCTGCCTTCAGTCCCAACAGCCCCTGCCCGCCCTGCCGCCTTCCAGGCCTGCAGGATCCTGCAACGCTCCCCAGCCCAGCAGGCGGCTCAGGCCTCCTCGCCATCAGCCCCCACAAGGAGCAGCGGCTGAGCGTTTTTGCCCTTGTCGTGCCAACACACGTCGAAAAAGGGGTACACGGGCCCGGGCAGGCGCTCGTGGAAGGCAAAGAGCAGCTCAAGGGCGTCGGCGTCACTGGCATCATAAAAGGAGAGGACTCCGTCGGCAAAGCTCAGGTAGATCCCGATTCGCGTCGGCCGCCTCTCCGCAGTGCGCAGGGCGCGCGGCTCTTTGGCCTCGATGTGCGCCTCCAGGATCTTGCCGTCCCGCAGCCCGATCAGCCAGAGGCCTTGCGAGGGCACGGCGTGCAGCCGGCCGCGGCGGCTGGCCTGGGCCGCAATCACACCGAGGGCCCAGTGCGGCTTGTCGCCCACCTCCACCTCCCAGTAGTGCTCGCCGTCGGACAGTAGCTGGTGCGCCACCACCGCCACAGCCTTGTCGAACTGGCACGGGTCCTCCCCGGCCGGCGGCGCCTTCTGATCCGAACACTCCACGCGGCGGCCAGAGGGAGACAGCACCAGACTCGGGTGAGCTGTGCTCGGGTCAAAGGTCAGGTCCTTCATAACTGCGGTAGGGGGGAGGAGTGGTCAGGCCCCTGCGTTGTCTGCCTACCGCAAGCTCCTCCCAATCAATTTAGGGGCCAGCCGGTCTGCCCTCATCCCCCCAGCATCTTTGAGAGGTGAGCCCCTCTCTGCTTCCTGCCCTGGGCCAAAGACTGGATGTCTCTGAGCTTCAGTTGTCTCTGCTGAAAAACGAGGCCATAACTGCCTCCTTCCAAGGTAGGGAGGATTCCGTGGATACAGGGCATGTAAGTCTGTAGCTAAAGCCCAGGTCACAAAGCAGGAGACAGGAAGCCTGGTCCTAGGCCAGCCCCCACCTCGCCCAGCTGTATGACTACAGTCAAGTCGTCTTTTTTTTTTTTTTTCTTTTTAAATTTTATTTTATCTTCTCAGTGCTCCACGATTCATTGTTTATGCACCACACCCAGGGCGGTCAAGTTTTGAGCCAGTCTCTGGGCCTTACTCTTGCCTTGGATAAAACAGAATCCCCTCCCCTCCCCGCCCCAGGGCAGTCAGGACTATACCAGCCCTGTGCACATGTCCTGGAGTTCTGTAACTAATGCCACTTCACTGTGACCTAGCTCTCAGGGGTGGCCACCAGAGTCACTCTCTGGCTTAGGCCCAACCCCAGGGCACCAGCTCTGCACATCCTCAGCCTCCAGCTAGCAGCCATGATCATCGCCTCCATCCAGCGGCAGCAGGAACTGACCCAGGATCCCACAGGGCTCAACCCCCAGGCCCCAGCCTCCCTTGCTTGCCAACGGCAGCAGCAGCTTCCCGGCAAGCAGAGTCCTCCCCACATCAGTCACCCATCCATGAACCCCATGCCTCAGAGTTTCTTCTCTGAGCACATGTTACAAGGTGCAGAGCAAACACCAGAGGTAAAGGAGCAATGGGCACCTCCTTCGATGACCTCCCAGCTGGGACTGAGAGGTCTCTCTTGTGTAGTCAGGACCTCCCCTCAACCACACGGTGACAAACACAAACCCGGAGACAGCCCCTCCCCCGTACCTGGCATCAGAGCCCGGAACATCTTCCTCCACACCTGGAATTTGAAGTCATCGGAGATGACCGGCAACTGGATATCCAGCCGGGCAGGTGGTGGTGATTCTGCCAGGATCTTCTGTAGCCTGGGGGGCGGGGAAGTGGGGGCAGGTGTGTGTGTGGAGGGACTTCCTAGAGGAGGCATGGCGCAGGGGCAGGGCACAAGGTGTTACCCCAAAGAGAGGAGGACTGGGCTGTGGTGGAGTTCCAGGATCTCTCCTGTGTCACCCCTGGCTTAAAACTCTGTCAGAGTTTCCCTTTGGAAGGATGAGAAAGTTCTAGAGGGAGATGGTGGATGCCACTGAACTTAAAATTACATGCCAAAAAATGGTTGAGATGGCAAACTTTACATGGTGTATATTCTACCACAATTTTTTACTTACTTACTTATCTCTACACCCAGTGTGGGGCTCAAAAGTCATGACCCCAAGATCAAGGGTCACAGATTCCACCGACTGAGCCAGCCAGGAGCCCCCACCAAAAAGAAGAAGAAGAACCTTCTGTTGGGATAAGGGCCAGGCTCCTTAGCCCTTCAGTTTGACCTCACCTCCCACACTGGCTTCATCCTCTCTCCCTCTTTCCAGTCTTGGCTCTTGCCCTTCTCATTGTCTGCTTTGTCCCCTCCCCCAACTCTTCACCTCATCAACTCCCATCACTCCTCCACGGCCCCATGCAAATGTGACCTGCTCTGCGAAGCCTACCCCAGCCACCCCCTTCCCACCAGGGCAGCACTGAGCACCTACTGATGCCTGTGTCCCCGCCCATGTCCATCCCCAGCACCTGTCTGGGAGGTCCCTGAAGATAAGGACCAGGTCAGGGTCAGGGTCATTTCTGTGCTCAACACAAATGCAGGCAGATGGCAGTGGATGGAATGGGGTGTACAGTCTTGCTGCGATTAGAGGGTGAGCCAGCAAGTGTGAAGACTAGGGCAAGTTGGGAAAAGGGGCAGGGCCAAGTGGATCTCACCTGCTGGTCACCAGACAGTATTTCTGGAAAGAGAGAGAAAGAGATGGAGGTGAGGCAGGCAGGGGAGACACTGGGGACTTCTGAGGATGGACGGACCACCAGGAATGCTAAGTGGGGGGTCAGGAAGAATCAGAAAGAGCCAAAAGGAACCCAGAATTTAAGGCCAACCCTAGCCCTTTACCTCTGTGTGAACTGTAAAACCGTACTCCCTTTCCTCAAGAGACCAATTCCACCGGGTAGATGATTGTCCAAATAAACACACAAACCTATAATGTCTATGATATGAATGATGACCACTTAGATTCAGTGTCCTTGTGCAGTGTGCAACCTCAACAACCATAACAGCAGCCCCAGGGGCCCATCCCTCTCCGATGTGTGACCCAGCCTTGTCCCTGCCCCTCTCTGGACCTCAAAGTCCATGTCTGACAATGGGATGAGGTCTCTAGGCACCAAACCCTGGCTGAGAAGCAGAGAGGGTAGGTCACCCAGTGCTCACCATGAGGAACTCCGTCTGTGGCTTGTCGGCCACCTCCTCCAGGACTTTCTCCATCTGCCGTAGCTGCTCCAGGTAAGAGTTCAGGCTGCCCAGCTCTCGTCTCAAGGCGACCCCCGCCTCACTCCGCACACGCTCTGCCTCCCGATCCAAGGAGCCCTCCAGCGCCGCCAGGAACACCCGCATCTTGCCCAGCTGATCCCCGACAGCCCCCCGGAACTGACGCACCGTCTCCTGCAGGAGCAGACAGGCAAGAGCACTAGGCTAGGAGCCCCTGCCCGACGCCTGGTACCCAGGCCCTGCCATGCTGAGCCACTCACCTCCACCTCCAGCAGCTGGTGCTCCAGCACAGCCACACTCTTCTCCTTGCGCATACACGCCTCCTGCAGCTGCAGCTTCTGCTGGGGCAGTTGCGTCTGAGGGGCAGAGGCAGAAAGTGACAGGGCTGCCCCGCCCCACCCGCCCCTCCCTAGGCCTGCTGTCTCTGGCTTGGCCTGAACACCAGCTCTCTCCCAGTCAGGTGGGCATCTCCCCACTCCCCAGACTCATGGGCAGATCTCTGGGCCCTCACCGGCACTGGTCCCGATGGCGAGAACGCCCTACTCTCCCACTATTTCAGGAAGTCCTCCCTGGCCTCCCATCCCTCATCCCACACCCTGCGCAGTTAGCACCCTTAGCACAAGTCTTTGTGAGGGTGACAAATGCAAATGCGGCTTGGTGTCCTCCAGCAGAAGGGTAAAGCACTGACCCAGAAAGCCTCTTGGGGTCAGTGTGGGGTGTATGAGGAAGAAATGCAACCTCCTGTCTCCTGGGGCTTTACCGCATCCTTAAAAGCAGAACAACAGCAAAACACCCCAGTAAGCCTTCCTGCCTACCCAAGGGCTATGGGGGCAGGCAATTTAATGAAAATGTCTGCTGTGTTGGGGCAGCTGGCTCTTTCAGTGTGCAACCTAAGAGATCTCTCTCTCTCTCTCTCTCTCTCTCTCTCTCTCTGCTGTGTCTACCAAACACATTTGTGGGGGGATCCTACCATAGACCTGCCAGTTCATGAGCCCTGAAATGCAGGTGTAGGGAAACTAAGAGCTCCTGCCGAAGTCACTCTTTGTGGGAAAACTGCATGGCCCTGGAATCAGACGGTCCCAGGCCCACCTCCATGGCTTCCAACCTCGGTTTCGTCTTTCGCAGAATGGAAGCAGTCTTCCTCCCCTCACCCATAGCTGTGACAGTTCTGTGACCTCCTCCCTACTCCCCCTAAGGGAAACGGAGAGACCCTCTGGGCTCTGCCTGCAGATGAGTCCCAGTCTTAGCAAATGCCCCAGGATTAGCCCAGCCTGTCACAGGACAGGGCGGACCTGGTGGCTCTCAGCATGGAGCCCTCAGAGGTTCAGTAGCAACAGGGCTAAGCCATGAGGAAGAAGCGTGACGCCATCCTGGCTGCACAGGGAAAACTTGACCGCTGATGACCTCAAGAAGTTCAAACGGAAGCTGGGGGAGGAATCACTGTGCCAAGGCTTTCAGAATGTCCTGCAGGGGCCACTCCGGCAGCTAGAGTCCCCACAAGCTGGTTGCCCTCACAAGCGGTGAGCACTACAGCTGGGGCTGTGTAGGGATCCGAACCCAAGGCAGTCACGCTGTGCGACACTGGCACTCAGGAGGATGCAGCTCAGTTTCGGGGGGTCGCATCAGTCCCCCGTTCCCAGCACATCCCATTCGACCACTCTTGAGTCCTGGTACATGGTCTCTGGACCCAAGCCCTCTTCATCGTCAAGGACCCAGGCATCCAGCCCAGCCCCAGCCTTCCTGTCTCCCTCCTCCATCAGACCCTTCCTGGGTCCCTTCTTCAGAATTCCTGCCAGCCCTTCCCTGTGTCTTAGGGCTGGGGCTGATTCGGATCCTGGAAGAATGTATCCCACCTCTCTGCCCCCTCAGGACTCCTGGGTCACCTGGTGCTCTGTTCCATGTCATGGACTCTATTCCCTCTTCGCAGATCTCTCTCTTGGGCCCAGACTGGGAGTCCTGGGGTTACCAGCAAAGGTGAGTCTCGGTTGGAAAGGCCCCTGGAAAGAGGAAGCTTCTGCACTGGTCTAAGAGCCACTAATCAGCACTGGGCAGGACTGGGCAAGGCAGGAGGGGGACAGAATGTTAGGCTGCGTCCCTGGGAGAGTCTGGGGGCCTCGAATACCCGCCTGAGGACAACGGTCTACCCTCTTTAGAAGTCTGGGGGCGAAGCAGAAGCGCAGTACGCTGATGTTTGTGGCTAAAGATAACCCGCAGAAGCCCACCCCACTCATCATTCCTGAGAAGCCAATGGCGGCTTCACTGCCCGGGTTTAAGGACGGTTCCCTGCCTCCAGAATCCACCTTGCCCCTCTCCCGCACCTGTCGTTTATTGTTCCCCAACCCCACAAATGCTTCATGGCAGACCTTCCTGGGCCTATGTAGACACATACTCTCCCATAGCTGCATGCCTGTGACTTGCCACACGTCTGACATGAACAAGCCAGTGTGTGTGTGCGTCTCTATTCACTAATCTCCGGGTATCTTTTCTGAGCACCCGTGAGAATCGCAAACCTTGGGGTGAGCACAACTGTGTGTTGGCTCTGTAAGCAAGCGTTCAAGACTCCCAGCTCCATCCAGAAAAACAGGTGGATTTGGGTCTCGGTGCCAACCTGGGCCTGCGTATAGAGGAGCGTTTCCAGACCTGCCTTGCCCTCCCCGCCGGATGCGGTACGCACAAGTTCGGCAGCTCGGAGGAGAACGCTGGCTCAGCGAAGCAGCTTGGTGGCCTCCACCCACACCGCCCCCCCGCCCGCCCCCAAGCCCCGCCCCTCTAGTTCCAGCTTCCCCGCCTACACCCGCGGAAGGGCCGCGACTCGCCGGCCCAGACACCTGTTCTCCTCCCGGCTCAGCTAGCTCTGCTGTGCAGCGGCGGCCCCCGCTAAGCCCGGAAAACCTAGGTTGGGGCCGCAGCGGTTTCCCAGGGCCTGCCCCTGAGTGCCTCTTCCAGGCTCTCATCTCCGCCAGGCTCCTCCTTCAGCTCGTCTGCCCCGATTCCCCAGCGGCCTCGCCCAGCCCGCGTCCGCCACAGCTGCAGGCGCCCCTGGCCCTGAAGCGCAGAATCCAGGTCAATGCGGGGACCTCCGGATGGGCCAGACCCCGCTTCCGCCAACAATCCGGTCCCGCCCCGGTTCCCCCGCCTCCGCAGGCCGCCGGATCGATTCCCGCACCTTGAGGCGCGTATGGGCTTCGGCGGCGGGCAGCAGGCGGTGGCCGCGGTGCGAACCGAGCGAGGCACACACGCCGCACACGAGCGCTCGGTCCTGCTCGCAGTAGATGCTGAGCGGGTCGAGGTGCTCCTCGCAGTGGCCCTGCGGCACCTGCGCCAGCCCCTCCACCAGGCGCGCCAGCTGCAGGTTGGTGTTGAGCGCCTGTGGCCGCGTGAGTGCCTGGCAGCACGGGCAGGGCACAGTGCCGTCCGCCGCCGGCTCCCCCGCCACGCGGCTCAGGCAGGCGCGGCAGAAGCTGTGGCCGCACTCGGCCGTCACCGGCGCGTCGAACAGCTGCAGGCAGAGCGGGCAGGACAGCTCTTGGTGCAGGAGGCCCGGCGCAGCCGACATGACGGTCCTGAGTAGAGGAGGGGTCATTCAGGGAGGCTCGGTGGAGAGCCCCGAGGTAGGCCCAGCCCCAGTCCCAGACAGGAAGGATCCCCAGCCTATAAAGACCTCATTTCTCATACAGAAAAGGACTCTGGTTCTGCACAACGCGGAGGGGGGACGCGGTTTCGATCCCAAAAGCAGTCTCAGCTGCATTTCTCAGCTCCAGCCCCCCAAACAGCCACTAACAGGGACCTTGTCTCAATCCCAGTTCCTAAACAGGATCCAGGTTGCAGTCCTTCCCTTGTCTTAGCCCCAGCCTCAGCCCCTGCCCCAAATTCCCCAGAGCCCCCACCGCTGCCCCTCTACCTCTCCAGGATCCCCAGGCATCCCCTCCCCCCATATATTCAAGCCCACAGGACCCACAGAACTCACAGGTCTGGTTGGAGATCTTAGGCAAAAAGAGAGTCCTGGGAGGCCCACTCAAGGTCAGGCCCAAACTTAGCAGGGTCAGAGCTGTGTCTGAAAACAGGCAAAAGGCAAACAGCAAGCTCAGAGCAGAGTCGGGGGTTCACAGGCGCAGCTAGCAGTGGACCCCACTGGTGAGGGCACAGAGTGAATCACAGACAGACCCTCCCAGGCTGTCTTGGCCCCAGGACTATATTTAGTCGTCCTGCCCACCCCTTTCCATCACTTCTGGAAAGCGTTCTAAAAGTGAGGACTGAGTGGTCATCGGACAAGCGTCACATGTCAAGGCCACCTGTCCTGGCCCATCCACTGGCCCCTCCCTGGCTTAGCCTGGAGCCAGAAATTACAACAGCAGGGAGACCGGGCCTCTCAAGTCACAGAAAAGACAGGAACACGATTGGGAGGAGTGTCTCCTTTCTCCCCCAACCCCCAATCCGCACTCTCCAGCCTCCCCCTTCCCTGCCTGTGGCCCATCCCCAGTTTGTCACCCACTTATTCACTTACTCCCCAAGTTTCTGGCTCTCCAAGATCACACTGACCCTATTAGCTCCACCAGCAGTAGAACAGGACCTGCTCACTCCAGCCTTGGCCTTTGGGCTTGCTGGCCCCTCGGCCTGGAACACTCTTTCAGACATGGTTTCCATCCTCCTCTCCCTCAGATCTTTACCCAATGTCACCTTTTCAGTGAGGCTTTTCCCAACTCCCTGATTTTAAATCTCACATCTCCCTTCCCCTGCCCTATTTTTCCCTATAACATTTATTACCATCTGACAAGCAATATTTTACTTGGGTTTTTTTGACTGATTCCTCCTACCAGAACATAAATTTTATACACTGCTTGTCTCCAATTTAGAATAAAGCATGTGCACACTACAGGTGCTCAGTAAGTACTCAGTGAATGAATAAACACACAAGGTCACTGAGTCCTCTTTTGGCCTCTCAGCCACCTTTCAGCTTTTCCTGGATTTGTCCGTTTCTCCCTCCCTCAACCACATTCTGCCTGTCTTAATCTGAGTTTCTGCTTATGTTTCAGAAACATGAGGACTTTGGACTCTCTTTTTGCCTCTCTCTTGGGTTTTTAATGTCCATTCTTATTAATTTTATCCCAAATGAGCACATGAGGTGTTCTGGATCAGAGACAGTCTTACTAAATCTCTCCCAGGAAATAGTAAATGTCTGGCTCCTTGTGCCCTAGGATGATGGGATAAGAGCCAAGTTAATTGGCCCATGACAGTAGCCAGATACCCTACAGAGGATCCACAAGGAAGAATTCCTTTCCCTGATTATCGAGGAGAAGAAATCAATTGCCCCTATCCCCTGCTTAAAGATCTTTTTTTTTTTTAAGATTTTATTTAGTTATTTGACAGACAGGGATCACAAGTAGGCAGAGAGGCAGGCAGAGAGAGAGAGATCACAAGTAGGCAGAGAGGCAGGCAGAGGGAGGGCGGGGAAGCAGGCTCCCCACGGAGCACAGAGCACAGAGCCCGATGCAGGGCTCCATCCCAGGACCCTGAGATCACGACCTGAGCCGAAGGCAGAGGCTTAACCCACTGAGCCACCCAGGTGCCCCCTTAAAGATCTTCTTCCTCCAACTCTTTGGCAAGTAAATATATCTCCCCAGGAGCCAGATAACTCCCTACACGTCTCAGCTCAAGTCTTTGGTTTTGCTGTTTTTATCCTGTTTTGTTTTTTTTTAATTTCACAAAGATATTTTATTTAACCCAATGTATCCAAAATATTATCATTTGACATGTAACTAATATGAAAATTACTAATGTGGAGCACCCATCTGGCTCAGTTGGTAGACCACACAACCCTTGATGTCGGGGTCATGAATTTAAGCTCCATGTTGGGCATAGAGCTTACTAAAAAAAAATACTAATGAAATATTTTACATTCTTTCTTTCATACTTAGTCTTTGATATCAGGTGTGTATATTACATTGAGGGCACATCTCATTTCAGACTGGCCTCATTTCAGGTTCTCAAGAGCCATGTGTTGATAGTAGCTATCAAATGGAAGAGCACAGCTCTATAATCTTCATGATCTTATAATAGATTAATTTTAAGATTATCTTATTAAGCCTTGTTGATTTTTTTAAAGACCTTATTTATTTATTTGACAGACAGAGATCACAAGTAGGCAGAGAGGCAGGCAAAGTAGTGGGGGGAAGCAGGCTCCCTGCTGAGCAGAGAGCCTGATGTGGGGCTGGATCACAGGACCTTGGGATCATGACCTGAGTGGAAGGTAGAGGCGTTAAACCACTGAGCGACCCAGGCGCCCCAGCCTTGTTGATTAAATATAGATTTGCTCGCTCGTGCTTGATCAAAATCCTAGAAAAATGTGAATGGGGGTTGGGGGAAGAACTCAGTTACTTAAACAGAGCATTCTTGTATTTATATACAAAAGTTATATTTATGAACTGAACCTCCCATTTGTTTTTGTTGTGTGGTTTGTTTTTTTTTTTTCTGGTAACTTCTCCTACCCTCCCTCCCAACCCATGCTTTTTTTCTTCTTCTTTCTTCTTCTCCTTCTTCTTCTTCTTCTTCTTCTTCTTCTTCTTCTTCTTCTTCTTCTTCTTCTTCTTTTTTTGTTAACATATAATGTATTATTTGTTTCAGGGGTACAGGTCTGTGATGCATCAGTCTTACACAATTCTCAGAGCTCACCACAACACATACCCTCTACATGTCCATCACCCAGCCACCCCCTCCCTCCCACCCCTTCCCATTTCTTTTAATAATTTGTTAAATCCCAAAGCAGTGTCTAGATAAACAATGACTTGCATCCCAAAAGCATGAGTAAAACCTAAATATGACAAGTCTTCGGACTTGTCTCCAAGTTCTGCAGCTCATTTCTTCTTCTTCTTTTTTTTTAAAAGATTTTATTTATTTATTTGACAGAGAGAGAGAGATCACAAGTAGGCAGAGAGGCAGGGGGAAGCAGGCTCCCCGCTGAGCAGAGGGCCCAATGCGGGGCTCGATCCCAGGACCCTGAGACCATGACCCGAGCCGAAGGCAGTGGCTCAACCCACTGAGCCACCTAGGTGCCCCTCATTTCTTCTTAAACATTTGAAGCTCTTGCATGTTGCATGCTGGCCCACTTAGGAAGCTTCCCCAGGCTTCCTGGCACCTTTGGGCTTAACCTAGGAACCTTGTACACACTATCATGATTTAGGCCTCTCAGGAAGAGATAAGTCTTATTATTCGTTTGGATCAGAGCCACTGGCTACACAAATGACTAAAGTATTGAAAAAGTCTCAGGAAGCCCCTAGAGCTTTTTACCAGAACCCTGAGCAGCCCAGGGAGGTTTGATTTCCATGAAAAGGAGGGAGTGGGGATGACAGCATATCTGGAGGCGGTCTCTGAAACCACAAGCTACCTTACTTCCACTCAGAAAGTCAATGTGCTGAATGTTGATCTCACCTGGAGTTTCCATCACTGCCAGGCTGAGGCTGAAGGCTTTGGTCAAAAGGAGTGGGTGCCCAGGACAAGGGGGTGACAGTCAACTCAATCTCTCCCTGTGCATGGGCCAGATCTCACCTCTGACCCATGGGAGGGACACTGGTTGTCGACAGCAGGGAACATATCGAGAAGGAAGTAAGGACTTGGGTTGCTAACCCTAAGATGAAGCTCTCTTAAGTCCCCGCAGCCAGGGCTCAGAGGGGGCAGATTTTGGCTTGTCCTAAGGGAGAGCTTCCCAATGGCTAAAGTCGTAAGTGCCATGGAAGGTAAGAGCTCCTTGTATTGGGTAAATGCAGAAGGCAGAATTCCTCCAATCAGGGCCAGAGCAAAAGCAGGTCCTGAATGCTGATGTCACAAATTCATGTTGCGTACACCCAGGAAGGTTACCTATCTCTCTGGACTCCAACTTCTCGAGCTACAACATGAGGATAAGTAGGAAAATAATACTATCCCTTAGGGTTGTTATGAGGATTAAACCAGATATTATATTAAACAAACACCAGAGGCAGTGTGCTGACACCCAGGGGCTTAGGGGGCAGTGACTGCCACCACTAGGCTCAAATCTTGACTCTGCTCTTTCCTCATGTGACTTTGGGCAAGTCACTTAACCTGATTTTCTCAACTGTAAAATGGGAACCATGTAAGAATTTTTATTAAGACTCTTAGATTGGGTGTGCGGGGTGCCTGGGTGGCTCAGTCGTTAAGCATCTGCCTTTGGCTCAGGTCATGATCCCAGGGTCCTGGGATCAAGCCCCACACTGGGCAGGGGGTTGGGGGGGGCGGTCCTTGCTCATCAGGGAGCCTGCTTCTCCATCTGCCTTCTGCTCTCCCTGCTTGTGCACTCACTCTGTCTCTCTCTCTCTCTCTCTGTCAAATAAATAAATAAAATTAAAAAAAAAAAAAAGACCCTTGGATTGGGGCACCTGAGTGGCTCAGTTAGTTGAGCATCCAGCTCTTGATTTCGGCTCAGATCATGATCTCGGGGTTATGAAATGAAACCCGACATCAGCCTGTGCTCTCAGCAGGGAGTCTGCTGAAGATTCTCTCTCCATCTCCTTCTGCCCTTCCACTCCGCTCCCCCAGCTCACTCATGCACTGTCTCTCAAATAAATCTTTAAAAAAAAAAAATTCTTGGATTGTTATGAAGATTCAGCAAACTAATTCATACAAAACTCTTATAACAATGCCAAGCCCATAGGAAATGTTCAATAAATGTTGGCTATTGATATTATTACAATTACTATTACTAAGTATTCCAAGGAATCCTACCTTACTCTGTAAGGTAAATAACATCATCCCTTACTTCAGAGACTGGGAAACTAAGGCTCAGAAACTTTAACAAGTTTAACAAGTGACAAATCACCTATCTGTTCCAACCATTTCACCATTCTTAATCCATTTATAACCTCATAAACTCATTTATAACCTTGTAACCACCCAGCATTGTTTCTATTTTACAGGAGGCCACGAGGGACAAGATTAAGTGGCCTGACCAATGTTCTAGAGATCTGTGGTCTTGGCTGCAGAAGAAGCAATCTGGTTCCAACGATCAAGGGTTTCTTTGGTTAGGTGGGGAGAAGCACACCCAAGAGGCATCTTACCACCAACAACAGCTCTGGCTC